ATAATCATGTTGCCACTTGAGAGTTCAGCTAATGAAATCCATTCTCATTGTATGTGATTAGCCCTCCATGTAAATAAATCAAGAGATTCTAAATGTAAGAACTCTGAGTTTGGCAACACCCATAATACGAATTGAGGGAATAATCTCAGGGAGGCAGGACAGGAGTGTGATTTTCAGTAAGTGATCATTCAGTGACTGGAAACCTAATGAATTGTACTGTTTGTGGAAAGATTGAGTAAAAAGGAAAGAGGACATTCAGTCTGGGATGAATGAGCAACTTCCAATGGGCTGAAAGTCAGCATCAGGTAGATCATGCCTAATGGACAGTTGGATCCTTGAGGGCGTGTACTGGAACCTACTGCAGTGTCGGTGCAGTTTGAAGGCACAGAAGAGGCACTCAAAATGCTTACTGAATTAATTAATTAGAATGAGTAGAACACAGAGACTGTGGCTAAAGGATCACCCAATGCAATTTTCTCGACTATGTGTATTTTTCTGTTTTCCAATAGCAATAACGTAAAATATATGCTGATTGGAAATAAGGAAAGGAAAGAAGGTTACATTCTTTGCATTGGACAGATTTAGATTTTGATATGGGAGACAAATTTAAAAATATTGGGCATCTCTGATGTAACATTTGATACTCCATAAACTTTATTCTTCATAGTTTTCAAAGAATATTATTTTCTATTCTTGGTAGCAAGTGGTCCTCAGGAATTTCCACATTCCAGAAATATATTTGATACTAAATCTATTTGTTATAAACCCTGAACTAATTATTTTATACTCATAAACACTGGTGTGATCTATATATCAGTTATTTAATACAATGAATGATAAAAATCATAATTCTAAAGGTAAATACTAAGTTAAAATATTGTAGTATAAGGACATAATAGTATAGAGTATCAGATCTTCAAAGTTCTTTAATTTTCTTTTTCTTTTTTTTTTGAGTGCCAATAACTATCATTCAGCATGCAAAAACATCAACATAATAGAATAGGGTGGGTTAATCTGGTACTGGGACAATAGATAAGAAAACAAGGTTAACTTATATTTTTTTAACATCCGAATCAATTGTATATGTAGAGAATGCTAAGTATGAGAAATAATGCAAATTATACATTAAGGGGAGAAGGAGAAAAGAGTAGATTATAGAGCAGTAGTAATTTGGGTAATGCAATCTTGGTAAGAAAATGAAAGTGAAGTCTTGCTATATGAGCATGTCCTTGAGATGTCTGTGGAAAAGATTTAAATGACTCTATCTACTGGGGGAGGTATTTTGAGAATGGGTACATATTGAAGGTTTCTCCTTTAGTGAAAGTTAAGCCACCCTACATAAGTTAAAAATATTTTTCCTGTTTCAAATGTTCAAGTTACTCTGTTTCTATAGCCTAAGAAAGACTGGAAGCCTGACTAACACAACGTCCAAATTAAGAATCTATATGTCCAACCATTCTTGTTATTCACAGTAGTTATGTTCTATAAACATGCACCAAACACTGAATCAGTGAATACTGACCATTGCTCCTAGGGGAAATAGAGGTTTAAATTGCTGTGAGCCTCTCTTCCCAACCTTTTCATCAGCTAGTCAATAGGTAACCTTGCTTTATGTATGCCACTGCCAGCAACACCTTATTCAATGTATATTGTTGATTCAGTAATATTGAATTCACAGCAAGCAGCTATTTATTCATGCCTGAGTGCAGCTGGTTTAACAACATATTTTCTTGTGCTTGGGCACTCAAAATCAGCACCATGGATCAGTCTAGATCGGCACTCTATTTTAAATAGCAGAATCAACAAAAACACACAAAAATGCAGACACCCTGGTACTAAACAGACCATGAAAAGGACACTTATGCATAGTGTGAAAGCTAAAACAAGAAAGAAAGCCAAGCGCCCCCTTGTTCAGAAGAATGTGCACATCAGAAGACTCAAGTTTTCTGCCACTCTGAATATCTGCAAATGGCCACAAAATGCTACCAGTACCGAATTGGGGGGTTGCAAATAAATTTTAGCATGTAAGTTAATTCACAAGTACAGAATCTGCAAATAAAGAGGATCGACTGCATATCATGGAATTTGAAATAAAAGAATGCAATGGATTATGAGGAGATAGGTAAAATGTCCATCAGAGAGAAGACATAGAAATTAGAAGGATGGATGGATGGATAGATAGATACTATATCTAGACAAAGTGCCTTAAACATTTTCAGTTTCTTTCCTTATCTTCCTTCCTACTTATTTTCCTGATTTGGTAAAAATATATGTCACCCAAAGGCATTAAAGTAGTGCCAGTATAATGACAGCCTACTCTAACAATGTAATGCAAGGCATTACAGTAGAAAAGTAAGCCCAAGTTTTTCTTGGCACTTTATTTTACTTTGGGATTTATTATTCCTTACTTAGAGATACCCCATCATCTTAATGTAAATCTTAAAAGCATATTTTTACAGAAGTGTTAATATTTAATAACCTGAAGTCAATATAACATCATCTAACTTAGTCAGCAGGGAATGAATTTTCTTGACACTTACATAGCATATATTTTCCAATAAATTTCAGGAGGATAACCCTGCTTTGTCACAGATATTGGGATTTTCTGTTTACACACACACTCCTTTATGATTTTTATTTTGCTGTCGAATGGAAGTCTCCAGAACAGAGCTGTTTTAAACTCACAACTCTAACTTATAAGCTACTAATAAAACCTCATCTTTTGCTAAATTCTTCAGTATAGACAAGGGATTTATAGCTGAAAAACAGAAAAACCTAACAAACATGAGGAAAGATGTCTGTTACACTCTGATCCTGACACTTTTTTTGATGGAAATGTTATCTCCCAAAAATTTTTATCAAGACAAGCATTCTACAATCCCCATTAAATTCAGTGAATGAATTGTGAAGGTTAGATTGGGCCCATTATAATCTTACATTTCTTATGTAACATTCATGATCATAGAGTTACATAAAAGCATATGAGTGAGCTGGCATGAACAAAAGGAACGAATTCCCACTTGCTTGGAGAACAGGCTCTGCTGGACAAACAGAGCTTCCTGTCCCATTTGCAGCACCTCCACACATTTCCTCCAGTGCCAGTGAGACCCACACTCTCATATCAGTGATACAATAAAACCTCCAAAACAAAGGGAGAAAATGAGGCAAACAAGCCCACTTCATTTCAACTTGTCAGCTTTAAATAAAACCTTCTGCAGCTGAAAATGAGAAACTTGAGAGAAGATAATGTGTGAAGTAACCAAATTCAACACTGGGACAGAACACATTGCACTACTTACTATTTTTTCCTGATCTGCCACCAAAGTTTTTGAAATTTCATCATAGGTAATTTTTCATGAAATATCTTCTCATCAAGGAGGACTTACAGGAAGAAATTGTTTCTTTTGTTTGTTTATTTTTTTCTCCTTTCCACCCACTGACATCTTAGGAAATATCTCAAGTTATCTTAAGCCCTTGTGATATTTTAATGAGTAATCTATGACCTTTGGAACAATTGTCATTATCAGTTTTTAAGTCAAAGATATATAGCTAAGCCTACTGAAAAAAAGGATATGCTTTTTGAACTTAACTTTAATTAATTGCTTACATAATATCTTTCCAGCACTAATTTTATATGCAGAATATAAGATTATGCTCTCTGCCTACAGAAAAAAGCAAACGAAAAACAATATAAAGGACAAAAAATGCATTTGAAGAAAGAGTAAAGGAAATTAAGATTCTAATAGAAATCCCTGAATATTGATGAAATGAACAGTGACTGCTAATGGAAATTCTTTCCCTCACCCTTTCCCCAGTGCCCACTTCCTCCTAGCCCAGTTTACCTCCAAACACTCGCCTGCTTTGCATTCAGGAGGCTGCATGCTCTTTTTTCCATCAGTTCTCTTCTTATGCCTTCCCTTCCCTTCCCTCTTTGCTGTTACTTTTCTTTTTTTCATTCCCTTGACTTTCTTCATCGTCCCTGAAAGAGCGCTTTGCACCTCTTCAATGAAAAGATTAACACCACTGGGTCCCAGCAGTTAGGCTACACAATTTGTGCATATTTGCTGGGGAGAGAACATGGGAACAGTCATTTTTCCTGAATGCCCCAGGGGTACCCACATTTGATATAAACATCTTTTTGCCTTTTACTTCTAATCTATGTCTGATATATTTTCCAAATAAGTTTAGAATACTGTTCCTTATTCTGTTATACTCTTGTATGATTATAACATGAACTCTCTGATCGCAAACTCTTTAATTTAAAAATTCCTAGATTACTTTGAGTGATGTGTGTGTGATGTTGAGGAGTGATCCCTGGCACCATCTCTGGCCCATTGTTAAGAAGTTCTTGAGTCATCCTAATATAAAATATGATTTCATACGTGTATTTTAAATCTGTTGGAGAAATAATATGGCATAGAGAAGAGGATATGAACCATGAACTACAAAGACTTCAGTTTGAGGCTCTGAAAAATCAATGTTTAATAGAATGACCACAATCAGCAAGTTTTCTTTTTAACCTCTCTATAATTCACTCATAAAATGCAGGGAAAAAATGAATAACATGTCATAGGATGATTAAATTAATGTTAGGTGTGCTTAAGAACTATTTTTCATTTTTGCTTTATGATCACTATAATGATTATTACAGTGTAAGGGAAAAGAATTTATTGAAATCTAACTTGATCTAGCTACTAAACATTCACTGAATAGTGATATTATGCAGCTTCCATGCACTTACTGTATTTTATAACCAGTAAACTCTGCCAAAAGCATTAGGTTAGTCTCTGTAGTTCAAGGCAGGAGACATCAGTGCCTTCCAGCACTATTGCACCCAAAATTCCATTGTGTTTTGTACTTTTTCTTAATAAACCGCTATCATGTAGATGTAATATAGTGTGGCCATTTAATGACTGATTTTTTCCAAAGGAAAGCAAATGGAATCATTTGCTTAGAGGATAGCTGTTCTAAGCTGAGGGGTTTCTTTTGTTTCCCCACAGTGATGGCTGGGCCGACAGGTATGATGTGACAGATGGATATCAGCGAGAAGCTGTTGGTGGAATTACAATCAAGCTCCAATCTCCTGATGTCAAGTGGTTTGATGATTATTATCTGAAGCTCCGGCCAGAAACAAACCTCCGAAACCCTTGGTTTCAAGAATTTTGGCAGCATCGTTTTCAGTGCCGGCTGGAAGGGTTTGCACAGGAGAACAGCAAATACAACAGGACGTGCAACAGTAAGCAGATTTATGGCTTCATTTAGTGTGGATGAGGCTGAGACTCCAATCTAAGGGAACTGTGCCATGGGGATGGTGGCTGTTACAGAGGAGGACTCAGATAAATAGAGTGCGTATTGCTGCTTACAGTGATAAACAGGTTTTATTTGCACTAAGAAAAATATATCAGAGTAATCGCAAACAATTCGATTATTTACATTTCTATCATTCAAGAAATCAGCACTGTGCTAGTAGGATAATGTGGGCTCCAGAGTGGAATTATTCTTGACATCCTTAGAGGCAAGAACTGCATTCTGCTCATTTCACTTATCTTTAATGGTTAGCACAGTGTGGGGCACGTAGTAAGGGTTTCATGTATGTCTGAAGAATGAATAAATGAGTGTTGAAGGACAAAGCCAGTCCTACTTCCATCAATGAACTATTAAGTAGTAGGCAATTTGCTCTGAATAATTATGGTGTTTCAGAGATAAAACCTGAGCATAGCCATTCATTCAGCCATTCAACAAATACTTATAAGGGCTCACAAGGTGCCAATTCATGCTTTAGGTATAAGGATACCAAGGGAGGAAAGCAAGTTCCTGTCCCTCTTGTGAGGGAGTCAGTCATGCCAATGAACCTACAATTCAACATTGTGGTATGTGTCAAGCAAAGGATTTGGTTAGCATTATTTATAGCAAATCCAAGGGCACTCCTGACTCTAATATGCAGGGAGGGCCAATGTTGATCTGTATGCCAAACAAAGCCTGCAAAGGTTAGGGTCTGTTGTTGAGACTGACTTATCCCCATCCTGTGTAACAAGAACCCTATTTACATTTGCATAGGGGTAGAATGTTGTAGTTGTTAGATAGGTGCCTTTATCCACAATGTTGTAACACAGGCTTTCCTTGGGATAATGGGTTTCAAATCCTGCTCATGAACCAATTCCAGCCCTCAGAGAAGTCATTGTATAACAGCACCAAAATGAGGAAAACAGGAACAATGTGTTTTCATAAATGCATTTCCCCCACTGAGTTCATGTCCATCCTGTGTTTTTTATATTAGTTCATTCTTTTGTGAAATGAAGGTGGTTGTAACCAGTGATTTGTGATCATTTTTAAATGTGGATGCTCGGTAAAATAAGAACTTGGCAATTCTTGTCTGTTCCTATGCTAGTTGGGTAATGGGGGGAGAGGGACGGTGGAGTGTGGGATATTGTACTGGTCAGTGAGACCCAGAAATCAGAGAAGCCTGGTGTGAGGCTCTGTTTGCTTCTCTGTCACTGCAGATACTGGTAAATCTTGTCCAAAAGTTTCAAATGCTTATTCATTTCCTTCATTTTTATTTTTTATTGTTATGAGAAAATGTGTGTGAATAAACAGCATGGTGACTTATACATCACAATTTCCATTTTTGTAGCTAATTTAATATTGTTCACAGTTCTATCCAGTTTCTGAAGGACACAGACTTCTTTTCTCTCTTGAGATTTGGGAGCATATGCCTCTGATGTTCTGATTCTGTGACTGTGTACAAACTTAATGTATTTTGTAGCTACAGTTATAAAGGGTAAGCAGATCAACAATTCCTGACCAGTGTGGCTGAGGGAATTTTTACAGATGTTTTTCACCCTCTTTTGTACTAATGTTCTTTTTCCCCACTTCTTTTTGTCTGAAGTATCTTCTTGAAACAGTTACTTCAAGAAGTTTTTGCTTGAAACAGTTTTTGCTTCTTTTTTTTTCCTGCTTGAGGTCTTATTTAGACCTCTTTAATTGATTTCCCTTAAAACTCTTTAATTGACTTCCATGGAAACACTACTTCTATGGAAATTATTCTGTAAAATCCTTTGTACCTGTTACTGTAACTCTGTCTTTCACATGAGCACCACAATAGGATTTCTCTGCATAGAATCTGTTCCTTACTCTAGGATTGGAAAGCGCCCTTCAGTCTCCCCCACTTTAGGATCTTATCTAACAATGAGTGTCATTTTGTACATAGACATGGACATTTACTGTGTAATACCTCAGTTATTCTTCTCAGTGATGGAAGCATTATTTTTATTTTAAAGATAAGAAAGCCAAGATTTAGAAAGACAAAATAACTTGTTCAAGGCCACATACTATTAAGTACTATAAACTGAGAACTGAACTCAGATTTGTCTGGAGTTTAACCAATATGCAGTACTAAAGAGTTAGACTATTATAATTTTTTAAAATCACCATCAAATTTTCATTATATCACAGCCAATATATAGGTCAAAGATATAAAAAAATGAATCTTAAGATTACTTGTACATGACTATGGAATGCAATAATAGATGCTCGAATGATCATTGCTCTTTACTAATGACCATATTTCCTTATTTACATCTTTTTTACCCATCTTCAAAAAGGCCCCAAGTAGTTTGCTCGTATCTAAAACACTACCAAATATGATTAGCATTTTCCTAAATAAAATGTATTTAAGCCCTTTCATCAAGCGTGTGCATAGGGCAACCATTCTGAGTTGGAATGATAAGGAATATTAGTTTATAATTGATATGTGATAAGAAAGTTTCACCTTGTTCACTACCTATGGTACCTTAAACCTAGTAGTTCAATAATAAAAATGACTTGATACTTTGAGTGGAAATACCCATAACTGAATCACTATTTATTTTTCGTAGTTGCTTCTTGGAAGGTGAAATATAAGAACTAGAAGAATCTAGATCTAGTAGTCTAGAATTAGCAGTAGCCTTACAGAGAATGAAGTACAGAAAAGTTCTGAGTAAACAGAAAGTTCAGTCTCATACACTTATTACTACTTCCTATTTCTCATTTGCTGTTTGTTTTCTATTCAGTTTGTCCTTGAATTTATTCCACCTTCCTTACTGCCTTCTTTTGGATCAATCAATAATTTTTATTATTCTAGTCAATCACCTTAACATTTTTGTTTTATCTCCTAGTATAAGCCTTTTGGAGTTTTCAGTAGAAATTACTAAATGAATCCTTAATTTAATATAAACTATTATAAGTTGGTTCTTGTTTACATTCAAGAATCTTGCAAATATTTAGGTCTACTTATCCCATTGTACTTTTTTTGCTATTGCCATATAATTTACTTTATATGCATTATATATGCTACAGGGCTTTATGATCGTTGCTTTAAATAAATGCTCAACAGTCATATTTGCTTACTTCTAGTATTCCTCATTCTTCTTGTACTTCCTTGATTTCATATGTGATTCTTCTAGCCTGAAAAATTTCCTTTAGTACTTCTTGTGCCAATAGTTTACATTAGCTTTACTTTTTGAGAACATCTTTATTTCATCTTTGTTTTTGAAGGATACATTCACTGAGTATAGCATTCTATATTGGCAGTTTTCTTCTGTGTTTTTTTTCCCCAGTTCTTTTTTTTTTCATTTAAAAACATAATTCCATTGTTTTCTCAATTCCCTGATTTTACTGAGAAGTTAGCCATTAAGGATCATATCCTTAATGGGAATATGTCTTTTTTCCTAGGCTCTTAAGATTTTTTTTTAAGTTTTTAGTTGACTATGATGAGATTAAGTGTGATTTCCCTTGTATATTTCTGTCTTAGGGTTCCCAAAGCTCCTTAAACCTGTAGATTAAAGGCTTGCATCAGTTTTTTAAAATTCCCAGACATCATTTCCTGGAACATTCCTTCTGCCATATTTCTCTCTCTGCTCTTTCTGGTACCCAGTCACACCTATGTTAAATCATTTGTATCATACATGTGACTTTTCTCAGAGATCTCTTTCATATCTTCTTTCTCTCTGTACTTCAGTTTGACTCTTTTCTATTATTTTGTTTTGATTTCACTAATCATGCCACACTAATCAAGTGTTCTATGTCCAGTCTGCTGTTACCCAAAATAAGAAGTTGTTAATTTCAGATACAGTATTTTACAGTCCCAGAATGCCTTATATTTATTTTTATGGTTTCCAATGTTCTGTTGACGTTCTCTTTTTCATCTACTTTTTAAATCCTTTACTCTTTACTTGAATGTATTGATAGTTATTTTAAGGTCCTTTTTTCCCCCTGACATCTGGATCTTCTGTCAGTCTACTTCTATTGACTGATTTTTCTTAGTCATTGGTAACATTTTATGTTGATACCCCTGCAGCATGTTTTCTTTTATGCCATATACTGAGTATAAAATACCATAAAGACTGAATTTCATATTATTCTCTCTCACCCCCCTCTGAGGGTCTGCCTTTTCCAGATTCAAAGAAATCAAGATGGGATAGGTTGCAACATAAGATAGAAGCAGTCAACCTCTAGTTAAAATTGTCTTTAAGGGACAATTGGCATGAAATTTTAATTGAGGGTCTAGCTAGTATATTCCCTCCCCTGGATAACTCAGCAGATCTTTACTATATTTTATCTTTTCTCTCAAGTCTCCTGCACTATGTTGTTTCTAAGTTCAGCATGTATCTTGAAGAAAAGACTCACCAAAGTTTGAACAGAGTCCATTCCTCAAGTGAAGCTTTTCTTTCAGATAATTACAAAACAATAGGAAATTTCTGTCTTCCTCTTCAAATTCCTGAGCCTTTCAAGCAGCCCCCAGAATAGGCAAGGGAATCGTGAGGGAGAATGGCTACCTTACATTTAGAACTCCCAAGAGTTTATAAATTGACATACCAGATCATTTCAGTATCTACAAGTTTTCCTGGTTTCTCTTTTTCCCAGCAGTGTCATATACAAGGTAGAATTTGTATCTCCTCCAGCCACGATCCATGTCCTTTCCCCTCACCTCAGAATGTGATTTTATTTAGAAATAGCATCATTACAGATGTAATTGGTTAAGATAAGGACATACTGAAGGACTTTTAATCCATTATGACTGGTGTCTTTATAAAAAGAGAAACGAGACATAGAGACAGAGAGGCACACAGGAGAAGTGGGGCAGGAAGACACAGGCAGAGACCTGAGTGGTGCAGCAGGAAGCCAGGGGACGACAAGGATTCACAGCCACCAACTGAAGGACCCATTTCCTTTACAGATACACTCTGTCACCCACTGACA